CAGGCTGGTTAACCTAGTGAGGAGGGCTTTAAACTAGGTGCGACGGGGGGGCATATGACCAAAGCCCACACGTAAGTGACAAAATGGAGTCCTGGAAGATGGGTCAGAAATAAGAGGAAGCTGGGCTAGAATAGCAGAGATAGAGGGGCAAGGCAGAACTGGGATGCTTGTATACAAATGTAAGAAACATGGGAAATATGCAGGAAGAACATGAAGTGTTAATAAACACAGCTATGACACATTTGGTATCACAGAGACGTGGTGGGATAATACACATGATTGGAATGTTGGTATGGAAGGGTACAGATTGTTCAGGAAGGCTAGGCAGGGGAAAAAAGGGAGGAGGTGTTGCCTTTATATTTTAAAAATTATACACCTGGACTGAGGTGGAGATTGACATAGGAGACAGATGTGTTGAGAGTCTCTGGGTTAGGCTAAAAGGGGTAAAAAGCAAAGGTGATGTCATACTAGGGGGTCTACTACAGACCACCTACCAAAGCAGAGGAGGTGGATGAGGCTTTTCTTTAAAACTAACAAAATCATCAAAGGCACAGGATTTCCCAGCATATGTCAACTATCCAGAGCACAGCAGCAGAGCACAGGTTATCCAATAAGTTCCTGGAATGCATTGGAGACAATTTTTTATTTCAGAAGGCTGAGAAAGCTACCAGGGAGAAGCTGTTCTAGATTTCAATTTAACGAATAGAGAGGAACTAGTTGAAAATTTGAAAGTGGAAGGCAGTCTGGGTGAAAGTGATCATAGAATCGTGAACTCTATGATTCCAAGAAATGGTAAAGGGAGAACAGCAAAATAGAGACAATAGATTTCAGGAAGGCAGATTTTAGTAAACTCAGAGATCTGGTAGGTAAGGTTCCATGGGAAGGAAGACTAAGAGGAAAAACATCTGAAGATAGTTGGCAGTTTTTCTAAGGGACATTATTAAGACTGAAAAAGCAAACTATTCCACTGCATAGGGGATCTTACATAATCTAAAACCCGAAAAGGACTCACATAAGAAGTGGAAATTAGCTCAAATTACTAAGGATGAATATAAGAAAACAATGCCAGTATGCAGGGGCAAGATTAGAACGGCAAAGGCACAAAACGAGCTCAATCTAGCTAGAGACATAACAGGTAACAAAACAACATTCTACAAATATATTAGACGCAAGGGGAAGACCAAGGACAGGCCCATTGCTTAGTGAAGAGGGGAAAAACAATAGCAGGAAACTTGGAAATGGCAGAGGTGATAATGACTTCTTTATTTTGGTTTTCACTAAGATGACTGATGATAACAGGATGTCTAACAGTGAATGCTAGTGAAAATGGGGTAGGTTTAGAAGTTAAAATACAAAAAGCTCAACTTAATAATTACTTAGAAAAGTTAGATGTCTTCAAGTCACCAGGGCCTGATGAAACGCATCCTAGAATACTTAAGGAGCTGATAGAGGAAGTATCTGAGCCATTAGCTGTCATGGAAGACGAGAGAGATTCCAGAAGATTGAAAAAGGGCAAATATAGTGCCCATCTGTAAAAAGGGAAATAAGAACAACCCAAGAAACTATAGACCAGCCAGTTTTACTTCTGTGCCAGGGAAGATAATGGAGGAAGTAATTAAGGAATTAATCTGCAAACATCTGGAAGATAATGAAATGACATGTAACACCTAGTGTGGATTTTAAAGAACAAATCATGTCAAATCCATCTGATAGCTTTCTTTGATAGGATAACAAGTTGTGTGAATAGGGGAGAAACATTAGACGACATATACCAAGACTTTAGTAAAGCATTTGATACGGTCTTTCATAGCCTTTTTAATCTATCAACTAGTGAAATACAACTTACATGAGGCTACTACCAGGTGGGTGCATAACTGCTGGATAAAGGTTCTCAGAGAGTAATTATTAATGGTTCATAGTCATTCTGGAAGGTCATAACAAATGAGGTTCCACTGGGTTTTGTTTTGGGACCGGTTCTGTTCAATATCTTCATCAACGATTTAGATGATAGCATAGAGAGCATGCTTATTAAGGTTGCAGGTGATACCAATCTGGGAGGGATTGCAAATGCTTTGGAGGATAGGGTCATAATTCAAAATGATCTGGACAACCTAAAGAAATGGTAGACAGGATACTGGGCTAGATGGACCTTTGGTCTGACCCAGTACGGCCGTTCTTATGACGGGCATGAATACAAAGATAAAATTGTGAAGCATGTAGAAGAACATAATTTGTTGGACAAAAGTCAACATGGTTTCTGTAAAGGGAAATCCTGTCTCACTAATCTGTTAAAGTTCTTTGAAGGGGTTAACAAACATGCGGACAAGGGGGATCCAGTAGACATAGTATACTTGGATTTTCAGAAAGCCTTTGACAAGGTCCCTCACCAAAGGCTCTTGTGTAAATTACATGGCCATGGGATAAGAGGGAAGGTCCTTTCTTGGACTGAGAACTGGCTAAAAGACAGGAAACAAAGGGTAGGAATAAATGGTAAAATTTCAGATTGGAGAGAGGTAACTAGTGGTGTCCCCCAAGGGTCAGTCCTGGGACCAATCCTTTTCAACTTATTCATAAATGATCTGGAGAAAGGGGTAAGCAGTGAGGTAGTAAAGTTTGCAGATGATACAAAACTGTTTAGGATAGTCAAGACAGAAGCAGACTGCGAGGGACTCCAAGAAGATCTCACCAAACTGAGTGATTGGGCAACAAAATGGCAAATGAAATTTAATGTGGATAAGTGTAAAGTAATGCACATCGGGAAAAATAACCCCAACTATACGTACAGTATGATGGGGGCTAATTTGGCTACGACAAATCAGGAAAGGGATCTTGGAGTTATCGTGGACAGTTCTCTGAAAACTTCCACACAGAGTGCAGCGACGGTCAAAAAGGCAAATAGGATGCTAGGAATTATTAGGAAAGGGATAGAAAATAAGACCCAGAATATCTGACTGCCCCTGTATAAAACTATGGTACGCCCACATCTTGAATACTGTGTACAGATGTGGTCTCCTCACCTCAAAAAAGATATTTTGGCCTTGGAAAGGGTTCAGAAAAGGGCAACTAAAATGATTAGGGGTTTGGAACGGGTCCCATATGAGGAGAGGTTAAAGCGACTGGGACTTTTCAGTTTAGAAAAGAGGAGATTGAGGGGGGATATGATAGAGGTCTATAAAATCATGAGTGGTGTGGAGAGGGCTGATAAAGAAAAGTTATTTATTAGTTCCCATAATAGAAGAACTAGAGGACACCAAATGAAATTAATGGGTAGCAGGTTTAAAACTAATAAAAGGAAGTTCTTCTTCACACAGCGTGTAGTCAACCTGTGGAACTCCTTGCCAGAGGAGGCTGTGAAGGCTAGGACTATAATAGAATTTAAAGAGAAGCTGGATAATTTCATGGAGGTTAGGTCCATAAAAGGCTATTAGCCAGGGGATAAAATGGTGTCCTTGGCCTCTGTTTGTCAGAGGCTGGAGAGGGATGGCAGGAGACAAATCGCTTGATCATTGTCTTCGGTCCACCCTCTCTGGGGCACCTGGTGTTGGCCACTGTCGGTAGACAGGATACTGGGCTAGATGGACCTTTGGTCTGACCCAGTACGGCCGTTCTTATGTTCTTAAGTCTTAAGCTGTGGCGCCGGACCTAAATGTGGCCAGTTAGAGCCACTCAGCACCTCTCAGGCTCTGCCTACAAGGCTGAGCAGCTAGTGCTTCCCACAATGCCCCGGTGCTACCGGCATGTCCTCCCTAGGGGCAAGAAATGCCAACACTCTGTACCCGACTGTTCCACCCAGCCCAGCCACTTGAGTCTTTCAATGCACACCCCACCTGGGATATGCCTCGCTGTTGTGGAGCGTGTTCCCATGGGTAGCCATGTTCAAAGAATCCCACCTTTGGGCCGGGTGCTGAGCCCCGCATAAACCCAAACCACACCATGGGCCTCAAGCTAACAGGTTGAAAGCGGCCCGCATGTTGAGTAGCCCTGATCTAGACAGTGCTTGGTCCAGTTGTGAGGTCAGGGGACTGGACTCGATGTCCTCTCAAGGTCTCTTCCAGTTCTAGTGTTCTATGATTCGGTTACATACTCTGTACACTGGACCATGGTGCTTCTCTTACATTTTAAAACACTGCATAAATGTGAAGATCGGTTGGTTTATAACATAGTACAACAGTTTCCAGCATTTAAACATTCAACTGGCCTCTGTAATGAAGTGTAGAAAGTAGTTAGTTGTTCAGTCACACTAACCCCATCCTAAAGCATTTTTATGTGTTACACAAAGAAAAGTATTTTATGCTGTACAGTGGAACATGTAGGAAGGACAGGATGTGATCAAAGTGAAAGTATTTCAAATTTAACAAGAAAGAAATCTCTATGCAGGCCACACACTGGCCAAAATACTACCTACATTTGCTTTTGGACATCACAGAAGATCAGAAATGATACAGAAAAAGGGTAGACCCTCCACTGTCAAATAAATTAATTTTTAAAATCTACTTTTTTCTTTATTATTAGCCCACAATTAAATTATATGTTAATTGGCACATCAACTACTATGGTAACATGGAAATTGCAGTGAACTGAAGCATCACTGACTGGAGTAATGCAAACCTCAGCCTCAGGCCACCAGAGGTCAGGATATCACCAAAAAGTATAACTAGAATACAGTGTAGCTATAAAAAGAAGCTACATTTGCAACTTAACATTGAAAGGTATATAATATAGTTCCTATGCAGACACCCTGTCTGGAAAAGTATTATTAAAACATGGGACATGAGAAATAGACACTCATTTTCACACCATAATATATCTCATGCTTAGTTAAGTGAATCAGAACTTGAAGTGTAGTATATCACAATACAAATAGTTATAAGTTGTCTAATATTTGAGACCGTGAAAAATCTACAGTATGACATTGTATACCCCAATTATAAAACTTATAAAGGATACATTGTCAAGTGTTGATATTTGCTTACAGTTTTAAGAGAAGACAGAGGACTTACCCTTTCTATTACTGCATCATGAAAAGGAAGCTCCTCCGAACTAACAAACAAACAAAATGAGATTATTAGTCGTGTTTAATTGGCACAAATTGATTTTTTCATAGGTTCTTACAAGTATTTAGTTATCAAAATTAATACTGAAAATGAACTTTTAAAAAAATTACAACATTTCCTGAAAGCAATCACAATGGCACAGAAATATAGTCAAATGCTTATTAGAATACATAAATTATTTTCTGCAATTGAAAAAAACCCAGTGAAATAAATTTCAAATCATTATCATATTGGAATTCTAAATGTATACTGTACTGTTTCAAATAAGTTGGGCTTTTCTAATGAAATCTTTTTCACCCAAATGTTTCCCTGAATAGCTCTATTTTTCTTTTAAAGATTAGCTAGTTTCAAAATACGGCTCTGGCAATCCTTAGTCCATTGCATATGGTTTTCAATCAATGCCAATCTTGTTTAGTAAATTGTACCAGTCTCACTTGCAGCTGAAGACAGGGGTTTTCTTTGCTTTTTGTTTGCATTTTACTCAGTTGTGGGACATGGATGGACTCAAACAGCCTGAGCTAGAGGGAGATACTTCAGTCTTTCAATTACTAGTAAACTCAGATTAATGGGAGAAGAACATGTAGTGCTTTTAGTAAGTGTCTAAATTCTGAAGAGAGTTCTTTCATTTCTCACCCTAAATCTAAAAGGCAGCATGAAATACAGATGTAAGAGACTAGCTGACTAGTCAACTACCTGATAAGCCTAGGCTTATCACGTAGCTGAGTCACTACTCGACTAGTCATTCTCTCATCTTGCTGCCATCTTAAAAGCCGATTCCCACCAGCACCAGCTCCGTGGAGGGGTAGGGGAAGCAGAGGCGCAGTGGGGAATCCGGTGGAAGCGGAGATTCAAGCAATCCCCGCTTACGCCGGGGCTGACTGCTGTGCCTCTCTGCCTTTTAAATGTAGAGGCGCAGCAGTCATGACCCCCAGCTGCACTTCTGCCTTTTAAATGTAGTCAGGGCCCCACAGAGCTACATTTAAAAGGCAGAGGGGCAGCCGCATCAACTACTCGGTAGCTGATTAGTCGAAATTTAACATCCCTAGCATGAAATGATATCAGCTCTAACTGTAAATTTACCATTCAAGGACTCCTTCAGGCTTTGTTAGCTACTTGCACTGTAAGACTCAAAATTTACCCTTTTCCTTGCTACCATCAAGCAAGGTTAATGTAACTTGCTGCCAAATGGTATTTCTTTCTGGTGTGTGTATCATCTTCAGCCTCTGTGGAACTCTAGCAGCTAATCAGTAATATTAACTGGGTTCCCCTTCCTTGTTGTAGAGCACGGGTAAACAATAAGGAGATAAATATCAAGGAAAGTAATTGCTTAAAGCTGGCCAACGCCTTCGCAGGAGAAATGTCAATGTATATAAAATACTCAAAAAACATAGGACCAAAAATAAGGTCGCTGATGTGCAGCTCTCAAGGAACACTAACCTTTGAACACGAAGGGTAAGAGCTCAGCTGTTATGTCAAAACCCTCAATGCTTGCAGAGCAACAGACTAAAAAAGGGGTCTTTATATGATTCTTTTGTTAGATACCTCTTATACTGAATGTAGAAAAAGGACAAAGTTGAAAAGGTGGTAACGTTTAAGCTAAATACATCAAAAACATCCTATTTTTTTGCCAACCTAGTGTTCTAAAGGGCCATTACATACCAGCATAATTTAGAGCTCCTCACAGTGGCACAAGGGCTAAAACAGGAGTTCTCAAACTGAGGGGTCTCACAAGCCCAACCAGGTGCAGATGCTGTCAGCCCCAAGCCCCTATGAAAGTTTCCTATTTTTAATTTATAAGGGGCAGGGGCTCACTCATAGGCTTCCTATGTGAAAGGGATCACCAGTATAAAAGCTTTCAGAACCACTGGGCTAAAAGGACTCGTCAGAGCCAGAAGGAGTTTACAAAGGTAGTTTAAAGCCTCCTTTTACCTGTGGTAGTCAGCACAAAACTGAAGGAACATAAAATCCAGCACAAGTGAGATTGACTTTTGGTCACATTCACTTCATTTAAAAAAAAAATCTGACATTTAAAAATTGGGGTGTACATATAAGCTGAATAAGGATGATTTTTTTTAAAGAAACCTACTGTATAAAATTTGCACGTTTAAGTAACATGGTTTCCAGCACACATACTGAACAGTAACATGAAAATCCAGAGAGTCAATCTTTTAAACATACCTACAGCACAACAGAAGGATTGGTTAACTTGACAACATTTTATAGATATTTGAATACCTTTCTGAAAAGAAAGAGCAAGATAACAAGGAAATCTGCTGAAAGGCTAGATTCTGATAAAGTGGGTTTTATCCACGAAACCTCATGATCTAATGTATTTGTTAGTCTCTAAGGTGCCACATGACTAACTGTTGTTTTTAAAGATCCAGAGTAACAGAGTAACCCTATGAGACTTCTTACTTTATGTGCACCATCAAACTTGTTTTGCTTTATACTCAAACTAACCCATACTAAAAGTAGCCCTTCACTTATACTCAGTATCACCTAAAATTAAGCCATCTTGAATAAAAATTGTAACAAATAAATAGAATTTCACTCTAAAATAGAATTTTCAGTTCTTCAATTACCCCTTTCATTTCCCCCCAGTGACAACTCCTAAGTGGCTTGTTCAGCTGCAGGCACCATCTGCACACACTAGGAGATCTGACATCATTTGTGTTGCTATATGAATATACAGTAGCTTCATTCTGCATGAATTTACGGATTACGCAAGTGCTAGTCCCAAACACAAGAGACGCCTTTTCTCAATGCCAAGGCATATCATCATTAGCAGCATACAGGACAGCATTCTGAAGTCTCCATACTTCTATGTAGCTCACATAAGACACACAGCAATTATACCACCAAGCTAGTCTAGTTTGGCAGCTTACCTTTTAATTTTGTGGTTTGCTGTGGGAGTTAGTCAACTATGTACTGAATATGTACTACACTGTCCTACTTTAGTCTAGCACACCAAGTAACTGATTTTGGTTCCACCCACCAAAATACAGCAACTGATTCACTAAGCTGTGGCGATATGTAAACTTTATATAAAGGAAGTCATCTGGGTCTCCTGAGAACACATCAGGCCGCTCCTTTATCCTGTAAGGTGATTTTCTTTTCTCCATGACAGATTAGCTTAAATCAGAGACCCCCAAACTAGGGGCACACCCCTAGTGAGTAGAGGAAGGGAAGCAGCAGGCCCAGGCCATCCAAAGAGGGGTTAGAGTGCCACCCAAACCCCTCCTCACCTCAGCCTTGCTCCAGTCCCCACCCTTAGTCATGTGCCCAACTCCTGGCCCTGCATATGGCCCCTTCCTCAGCCTCAGCACAGCTCCACTACTGGCTCCATGCCAGCTCCCTGCCTTGGCTGCTGCTCTGTACCCAGCAGTGGGATGAGGCTGGGGGTGAAGCCTTGGGATGTTAAAATGCAGTTAATTGACTAGTCGAGTAGTCAATGGAATTCCCACTGACTATTTGACTAGTCAATATGCACTTCTGCATTCCTCCTTTGAAATGTACAAAAGCCCCTGCTGGGAAGTCCCGCTGACCCCAGGCTGAAGCGGGTGCCTGCTCTGAAATGTACAACAGTCCCCAGCAGGGGCTTTTGTGCATTTCAAAGTCATGGAGCCCGAGTTTAATGGGGGACTCCCCAACTGACCCCGTTTCTGCACGGCATATCAGCAGAACCCAGGATCAGCTAGGGACTCCCCAGCTGTCCCCGGATTCCACACAGTATTTTCCCGGAACCCGGGGTCAGTCCCCAGCTGCCCCCGGGCTCCACAGCTGCCCCCTTTGAAATGTGGAGGCAGCATTTCACAGGGGGCTTTGAAGTAAGGCAGCAAGCGGGAGATTGACTAGTCAGCAGACTATCCGATAAGGAAATGCTTATTGGATAGTCCACTAGTCCTTAACATCCCTAGTGGAGACACACATAGCCATGGGCACAGCTGCCAGCCCCACTGCAGCCCCCAACCTTGACCCCATAGCCTTGTTTGTATTTCTCACCCACCCCAGGGCCATGAGCACACTCCAGCTTCCAACTCTGATGGGGGAAGAAAATATGAGCTTCAAAAGTTCAATTAATCCTTCAATGCTGGGCAAGAATATACCTGGTACCTACTAAAAAATCCTGATGACACCTCTCTGAGGTATTATTCCCATTTGACAGATAAGAAACGGAAGTAGAGAAGTTGAGTGACTTGCCAAAGGCTGCAAAGTGACTCAGTGGATTGGAACTCAGGAGTTCATAGCTAGACCAACTCTCACATATACATGTCTACACACAGAGGTTCAAGTTCAAGCTCCCAAATCACAGGCCCTACTTTCTAATGGTGGACTTCAATCACCCTGACATCTGTTGGGAAAACAATACAACAGCACACAGACAATCCAGGACATTTTTGGAGAACGTTGGGGACATTTTCCTAGTGCGTGTGCTGGCAGAACCAACTAGAGGCCACGCTCCTCTCAACCTGCTGCTCACAAAAGGGAAGAACTGGTAGGGGGAAAAAGTGGGGGCCAACATGAGCGGCGGTGACCAGGAGATGGTCGAGTTGAGAATCTTCAGGAAAGAAAGAAAGGAAAGCAATACATTACAAACCTTGGACTTCAGAAAAGCAGACTGACCCTCCCAGGGAACCGATGGGCAGGATCTCTGGGAGGCTGATATGAGGGAAAAGGAGTCCAGAAGAGCTGGCTACATTTTAAAGAAGGCTTATTCAGAGTGCAGGGACAACCATCCCAATGTGCAAAAAGAATAGCAAATACAGTAGGTGACGAGCTTGGCTTGAGAGAAATCTTTGGTGGAATCTTCCAAGTGGAAACTTGGACAGATGACTAGGGAGGAGAATAAAAAATACTGCTTGAGCATGCAACAGTGTAATCAGAAAAGCCAAAATGCAATTTGAGTTACAGGGATATGAAGGATAGCAATAAGTGTTTCTATAGGTATGTTAGCAAAAAGGTAGGGGTCAGGGAAAGTGTGGGACC